AAACAGACGGCGCGCAATCGAATAGGAGCGCAATAATTCTGAGTAAAATATACATTTTGCTAAAATATTTGTTGGACATTAAATGTGCCTTTTGTAGAATTTTAAATTTTCATATAAGTGTATTTTTATGATAGCAGTAACTGTAAAGGGACTATTGTAATGGGTAAATCAAATGTAAGCTAGTTCAGTACTAATTACTAAGCTCAAATGAGTTAATGTGTGTTTCTTATAGCAGTTTATAAGTCATTTTCTTTATTATTTATTTTAATTTTAATTCAGTGATTTTAACTTTTAATTTAATTATTTTAATGCTTTAAAGAGCAATTTTAGATTGTAATGTTCTAATGTTCTGCTATCTGTTCTGCAAAGGTACAGCTGTCATAAAACCAGAGAGCCTTTCTGCTTGGCTAGAAACTGTAAAAAAAAGTCAAATAATAGCGTTCCTATTGGTCAGTGTTAGAGGAAATCAGCTTAGTCTGATAGTTAACCTACTTTAGACCAGGTTAGTTTCCCAGCATAAGTTGCCACAGTGACCGAAGTTGATCTTAAATTTGCTTTATGGAACCAAATCATTTGACAATAAGTCAGACTAACTGAAATAAGCCTGGCTTATTTGGTTAACTTGTTTTATGAAACAGGCCTCGAGGCATTAAAAGTGATCATATGTTCTCCATTGCATGGTATTGCATCTAATTGCATTGGCTGAATCTGTGTTTGTTTCTCTGCACGTGTGCTGAATCTGTGTTTGTCTCTGCGCATGTGCTGAAACCGTTTGTCTCTCTGCGTGTGTGCTGAATCTGTGTTTGTCTCTGCGCATGTGCTGAATCTGTTTGTCTCTCTGCGCGTGTGCTGAATCTGTGTTTGTCTCTGCGTGTGTGCTGAATCTGGGTTTGTCTCTGCGTGTGTGCTGAATCTGTGTTTGTTTCTCTGCGTGTGTGCTGAATCTGTGTGTGTTTGTTTCTCTGCGCGTGTGCTGAATCAGATTCACACAAACACACACAGATTCAGCACATGCACAGAGACAAACAGATTCAGCACATGCGCAGAGAGACAAACACACACACACAGATTCAGCACACGCGCAGATACAAACACAGATTCAGCACACGCACGGAGACTAGGGATGTAACGATTACCGGTTTGACGATAAATCATGATAAAATTCCCCACGGTTAGTATTACCGTTTCATCTTTTAATTATCATTAAAACCATATTAGATTACCGCGATTTGAACAACTCGCGATACATAAATACTGTCCAGCATAAAGCACAGTTTTAAGTAACAGTCTCACGTGCGCACAGCACAGCACAGCACAGCAGAGTAGTTTCGTTTTGAGTGAAAACAAGGTAGAAAAGCTGGGAGGTTTTAAAAGAGTGCTAAGGGAATTATACAAATGAATATATGAATGAATTAATTATATGAATGTACCTCTGAAGGTTTTCAGAAACGATTCGATGGCATTTTGTTTTCATCTTCGCTCCATGTAATACCTAAAGGAAGTGTTCTTAATCGCAATACTGCTTGTCCACGGAGGTTACAGGAAACTGCTCTAATTCAGCTTTTCCATCAGCGCCACCTGCTGTCAGCAAGTGGATTTACAGACACTTATATTTACATTCAACCTGTGTGCAGTTTGTGCCCTACTGTAAATTTTGACCGGTTGATGAAAAACAAGCTTATGTGGATTCTACACATTTAAACAATTCAGATAAGTTATCTAGAATTATTTATGGAGCAGATAAAATACATATAATCATTTAATAATCAATTATGATTTTGACTTAACTCTTTTCTTTATTTAAAGGCTGAAATGTGAGGTTTACCTTATTATGAAACTTTTTCAAAGCTTTATTTGAACATTTACATTAGATATTTCAACATGATATTAAACTGTTGTCAGTCAAGTTGTCATTTAAAATCCGAACATCATTGGTAATGTTATTGTTTTAGTGATTATGCAAACAAAAAGTCATTTCATTTGTAGTTTGTTCATTTTTAAATATAAAACTTATAAACTTATATGTCGGTACTTTTTTAACATCTCCAGCACATGTTAACAATACCGTGATAATACTGATAACAGCGATAATTTTGGTCACTATAATCGTGATAAGAAAGTTTCATAGAGCAGAGAGACAAACACACAGATTCAGCAGCATACGCGCAGAGACACAGATTCAACACACGAGCACACAGATTCAGCACACGCGCACACAGATTCAGCACACGCGCAGAGACAAACACACACAGATTCAGCAGCATACGCGCAGAGAGACACAGATTCAGCACACGAGCACACAGATTCAGCACACGCGCAGAGACAAACACACACAGATTCAGCACACGCGCAGAGACAAACACACACAGAATCAGCACACCAGAAACAAATACAGATTCAGCACACGTGCAGAGAGACAAACGCAGATTCAGCACACGCGCAGAGAAAAACGCAGATTCAGCACACGCGCAGAGAAAAACGCAGATTCAGAACACGCGCAGAGAAACAGAAATTCAGCACACGCGCAGAGAAAAACACATTCAGCACACGCGCAGAGAAACACAAATTCAGCACATGCGCAGAGAAACACCGATTCAGCACACGCGAAGAGACAAACACCGATTCAGCACACGCGCAGAGAAAAACACTGATTCAGCACACGCGCAGAGAAACAAACACACACAGATTAAGCACACGCGCAGAGACAAATACAGATTCAGCACACGCGCAGAGAGACAAACGCAGATTCAGCACACGCGCAGAGAGACAAACGCAGATTCAGCACACGCGCAGAGAGACAAACGCAGATTCAGCACACGCGCAGAGAGACAAACGCAGATTCAGCACACGCGCAGAGAGACAAACGCAGATTCAGCACACGCGCAGAGAGACAAACGCAGATTCAGCACACGCGCAGAGAGACAAACGCAGATTCAGCACACGCGCAGAGAGACAAACGCAGATTCAGCACACGCGCAGAGAGACAAACGCAGATTCAGCACACGCGCAGAGAGACAAACACACAGATTCAGCACAGGTGCAGACAGAAACACACACAGATTCAGCACGCGCAGAGAGACAAACACACAGATTCAGCACACATGCAGAGAGACAAACACAAAGATTCAGCACACACGCAGAGAAACAAACACACACAGATTAAGCACACGCGCAGAGACGCACAGATTCAGCACACGTGCAGAGACACACAGATTCAGCACACGTGCAGAGACATACAGATTCAGCACACGCGCAGAGAGACACAGATTCAGCACACGCGCAGAGACACACAGATTCAGCACATGCGCACAGAGACAAACACACAGATTCAGCACACGCGCAGAAACAAACACAGATTCAGCACACGCGCAGAGAAA